GAAGTTCGGAATGGCAAATATAGAAAGAAATAATTTTTATGAGTAAATTTTAAAAAAAATATTTTTTTATCCGATAGAAAAGATGACGAAATATATTTCAGTCAACAAGTATATGTCAGGAGTTAAAGAAGAACTAGACCCATTCACATATTTGAATGTTTACTTCTACCATTTTGAAAAGTCTACATTTGACAAAGTTTGGAACATTGCACCAGTTAAGTTTGCTATTGTGACTAAAAACGGTGCGAAATTTGAAGACTTAGACATAGAAGGTTTGTTAGCAGTCAAAGAAAGTTTTGACAGAAGGTTTTCAAACCTTAAAGAAGGCAAAGCATACAAACTTGTTATACCTTATGAACCAAAGAAAGCAGACGACTATGAATATTATGAGTCTAAGATAGTTGAAGTTCAAGGTAAATTGGGTAAAAAGATTTTAGAGTCTAAGCCAGTGTTTGCTCCTAAAGAGGAAGAGAACATTGACATTGACCCAGAAATGTTCTAAAAATAAAATTTTATTTTTACATGTCAAATTTCTTTTTCTCTGGAACTGGTTCAGGTTCTTTTTTCTCTTCTTCTACTTTCTTTTCTTTCTTCTCTCTCTTCTTCTTCTTTTCTGGTGGAGTTATGTCAAATTTCTCAGAACCATATTTATGTAAAAGTTCTTTGTCCTTTAATAGCTCTTCTATTCTGTTTCCTATTTCATCTTCAAGAACAGCGCATGTGTCTTCTTTGCATTCTAAGAACTTTTGTTGGACTTCATCTTTCCAATCGGTGTCATCTCTGTCAACAAGTCTGTCATTGACAAACTTAAAGACTTCTCTGCCTAATGTTTTATGGTTCTTGTCATATTCCCAGAAACAGAACTTTAGAACAAATTCACCTTTCTTGTTTACACTATGTAAGATTTTATGGTCGACAGATGTTTTGCTGTCAAAAAGTTTGTCTCGAATATAGATAGCGAAATCGCTAGACATTTTCTAAAAGATAAAAATTTTAATTTTTCTAAAAATATGTTAGAAAAAAAGTTTGCTGACATTGACAAAAAATTTGAGAATGTTTTGAAGAAGAACAAGAGGAAGTTGGAAAATGCTCAGATAAAACCATACATGACAAGTTCCTATTTGCTCAGAATGGTATAACAGGTCTAATTGCACCACCTGGGTCGGGTAAGACTTTCACTTATCTTAAAATGGCTGCACAACAACAAGAACTAGATGAGAAGAACCCATTCTATGAGTTAGTTGTCATTTGTAGTACTTCTGGTCAATTTGACCAAACCGTCAATTCGTTCAAAGATATTATAAAGAAGTCTAAGTTAGTATGTATAAAGGATACTGAGTTGTTAGATTGGATAAAGAAGTACCAAAGAAGAGTTTTGAAGTATAATGCTATAAATGAGTATATAAATTCTAAGTTTAAAGACCCAAATGAGGAAATGCAGAGAATATTAGAGAAGAAACACTTCAGAAACAAACAGAAAGAGATAGAATACATTTCGAAGAAATTGCAATCTTACGATTGGAAGACTTACCCTCACAGATGTCTTCTTATCTTAGATGACTTTGCTTCTCATCCTTTGTTAAAGAATAGAGAACAAGATATGTGTCGAATTCTTAAGAAGCTCAGACACTTTAACATCTCAGTTGTCATTTGTGTACAGACAGCAAAGAGTTTAAGTAAGGATGTTAAAAGAATACTTACTGACATTATACTTTTCCCCGGATTGTCCGAAGACGATTTCATGGAACTTATGAAAGAGTCCATGGCAGGTAAGTTTGACAGACATGAACTATGGGAGAAGTACAAAGTCATACAAGACCCTCATACTTCTTTCAGAATTCATATCTACGCAAACAAAGTTCAAATTGTAAAAAGTCAAGCTTGAAAAATAAAGAGTTTTGGCGACCAGGGTTTTTTCACTACTCGCTGTGCTTCACGATTTTCATGAGTTTTAGGCAAGGCCGGTAAAAGTCGGTCTAGAGAAATTTCACGATTTTCATACGGAATCTCTTCTCTCGGTTTTTCCGAGGGAAGCAAGCATATGCCATTTTACTCAGAATTTTGGTCATTTTTCAGTAAAAATAATGTTTATGTTAGAATGTTAGATCTAACATGTTTTCTAACATGTTTTCTAACATGGTCTAAAACATACAAAACTCATGAAATTTCATACGGAATTCAGTAAAAATAATGTTTATGTTAGAATGTTAGATCTAACATGTTTTCTAACATGTTTTCTAACATAACTATTTACAAGCGTTTTACATGGTATATGTTGCGATGGTTCATGACTCTAAACAATTTCGTAGCTTCTATTTCTTCACGAAGGATGTCAAAAGTTTTAACGATACCGAAAGTTTCTTTATACTTCTTCTTGACGTCAGATAGAAGGAAATCGTCAGCAGTTGGATAGTTTTTGTTCAGAAATTCTAACATGTTCATTTTATCTTCTGCTGGTTTTTCTGCTTCTTTCTTTAAATCTGCATAGTCGTTTCGCATACGTTCTATCTCTTTGACGGAGTAGTTATATTTCCTCATTGCTGCTTTACATTTTGAACATTGCGGGTTCATTTTTGCGTTATATTCTGAAACCTTACCTGCAAGTATGACCAAGGCGTCAATGGTTTTCTTCATCTCGAACATAGCGGGTTTTATTTGTTCGTTCCATACCTTACCCCTACTATCTTTATCTCTTATTTCCCAAACACATTTTGCAACTAATGAAACAAAGTTGTCGTAGGTCTTAAATTCTTCGGATTTGTAAAGGTCAGAGATGTTCTTATATACCATGTCGCAATCTTTGTCCATAACCTTATGGTTGCAATGAAAACCAAGGAATTCATAATTTACCTTTCGTATGAACTTCTTTATTTCTACTGAGTCAGTTGCTTTGACTTCTATTTCGTCAAATTCGGGAATGGTTAGTTTTTGTTGTTGGATTTCAGGCAATTTGGGTAAATGGTCAATAATGTCCTGCATTTCATAAAGATACTGTTCATTTGTTTCATCTTTCGCACTACAGTCTAAATTATTCGTTAACAATTCCTGCTTTATCTTCTGGATTTTTGTTTCGAAAGTATATGAAGAAGGAATGAAGTTTTTCATCTCTACTAACATTGACGTAGGATTCATGACTAACGAGTTTGGTGCTGTAGTTGTTTGAACTGTTGTTGTGCCGATTGTTGAAATCATGTTTTTATACAAAATAAAAAAAATAATAAAATAAAAAATAAAACTAATTTTATTTTTTATTTCGGGAAAATTCATGAAAATTCAAGAGTTTTAGACCATGTTAGAAAACGTGTTAGAAAACATGTTAGATCTAACATTCTAACATAAATTATATTTTTGGTGTAAATTTCATGAAAATTCAAGAGTTTTAGACCATGTTAGAAAACGTGTTAGAAAACATGTTAGATCTAACATTCTAACATAAATTATATTTTTGGTGTAAATTTCATGAAAATTCAAGAGTTTTAGACCATGTTAGAAAACGGTTTAATAGAAAAAGTGTTATTTTTTCATGTCCGAAGACTCGAAGGTGCAACACTTCCAAAATACCGACGAACTCAGAAGAGCAGCATGGCAGTATCTTCTTGACAACTTCTTTGAGTTCTCCAGGTACACCTTGGAAAATGCTGAAGAACTCCGACACAGAGAATTTGGAGAAATTGCACTCCAATACTACCTTGACAAACAAAGGGTAAACAAAGGGTAAAATAAGACTAAAAACTTAACGTTTAAAAAGTGACATTTTTATGAGCTCCGAGTCACCGAGAAAACTTGGTCAGATGTTAGCAGCTTACTTCCCTGAGGAGGATGGAAGCGTTACATACGTAAGGTTCAAAAACAACGAACCTGGAATTGCGTACCAAATTCGCAATTACATGACCATGGAAGAGTACGAAAGGTTTCTACAAGAGAAACCAGCTCTAAACAACTCAGAAAAGAAAGAATAAAAAGTTTAACTCGTAATTGTTTTTTTTTTACTTGTATGGGCAAGCTGCAAGAATGAAGTCGACTATCTCAGTCTTTGTCTTGACCAGTTGGACTGCTCTTGCGAGTACGTCTGTTTTGCGGTCTCCAGCTGGTGTCTGACCTTCGTAATTGCGCATGTTCTTGAGAGCTCCAACTGTAAATGGTTGTAGGATGAAGAGTCTCTCAGACTGCTTGAGGTAGTCGTCTCTGTCTTTGACCGAATCTGTGGTACGAGTCGAATCGGTCGATTTGAGGGAAGAGACTGAAAGCCTGTCATCTTCCATTGGAGCTGTAGCATACTCTTTGCGTAAGCGGTTCAGACCTTCTTCGAACTCTTGGTCTCTCTTCGATTGGGATTGAGATTGGAATTGGGGTGGAGGGTTTGACATGAACATCCAAGGGTTAGGGAAGTAAGGCATGGGTTGAGGTGGGTAGTTTGGAAAGCCTTGTGGTGGGTAGTAACCTTGAGGTGGGTAGTAACCTTGAGGTGGAAATTGGTAGTAATTCGGAGGTCCTTGTTGGAACTGAGGTTGCTGTGGGTAGCCTTGTGGAGGTGGAACCTGTTGTGGTGCTGGAGCATGCTGTTCTTCTGGCTGTGGAACGGGTTCAGTAGGTGGGACGTCGGACATTCGTTTGTGTCTTAACCGTCTTTGTTCTGAAACAATATAATATTGTCTTGAAAAAGTACAACATTGTCTTGAATAAGTACAATATTGTCTTGAAAAAGTACAACATTGTCTTGAAAAAGTACAACATTGTTCTGAAAAAGTTCAACATTGTCTTGAAAAAGTACAACATTGTCTTGAAAAAGTACAACATTGTTCTGAAAAAGTTCAAGACTTGTTCTGAAAAAGTACAGCTGTCCTCAAATTTGAGAGACATTGTTCTGAAAAAGTACAATATTGTCTTGAAAAAGTACAACATTGTCTTGAAAAAGTACAACATTGTCTTGAAAAAGTACAACATTGTCTTGAAAAAGTACAACATTGTCTTGAAAAAGTACAATATTGTACTGACTCAGTATGGAGCTTGACCCCTTAGACGAAGCAATTTATCTAATTGAGGTAAATGAAACCGTGAAGGAATATCTCAGCAAGTGCAAACCAAGCAAGTCCATTGGCTTCTGGTTGTCCAAGAATAGTGTCTTAAAGTTGGAAATTGAAACAGGTGTTGCAATTCAAGTTCCAGAAGGCACTGCATTCGATGATATTAAGGATGTGAAGAAAGAAGCCCTCTTGAAGTTCTTCATGAAACGTCCTTGGATACTACTTCCATATCGTGAGAGCCCAATTCCACGAATTACACAAATTCTCAGAGCACTACTTCACTACTCTGGTCAGCCGTTCTACATAACCTGTGAAGGCGACATCCAACCAGTTCAGTAAACATCTCATTTTAACTTCACTTTTTTTATGTTTTTACTCACACTCGTACTCACCAGGTATGAGTACAACTATTTCAACTGTGAACCTTGTATTGACAGGTCTTCCTGCAAATGCAAGTTCGGTCAATACACAATTTATGGTGGCAAGAAAGACAGTGGGGAATGTTATTCTGACATCTGTTGTTGCGCTCGAGAGAGAATTGAAATTCCAGAGCCACCTCCCCCAAGAACTCCAACAAGAACTCCAACAAGAACTCCAACAAGAACTCCAACAAGAACTCCAACAAGAACTCTCAAGTTGCCAAAGACTCATGTGAAGAAGAAGCCTTCTGGTAAGTTTCTTATAGCCATATACATGGCACGCTTTGAGTAAAAACATTTTTTTCATTTTTTGAATGAAGCAAGTTAAATTCGTCCCACACCAATCTCAATGGACCGATGAAGAGTTTCAAGCCATGGTTGAAGGCGTTGAGAACGACATAGACGGCGAACTTGAAGGAGCTCAAACCACAATTGCAACCAAAATTGCAGAAGTCAAGGAACAAATAGCTCCACTTAAAGCTACCAAAGCTACTCTTGACCTCATGGATACTTACCGTTTAGAAGTAAAGAGTGGAATAAGACAATTAAAATTAAAACTTCTAAACTACGAAGCTATACTCCAAAAGTTAGCAGAAATGAGAAGACTTTACCAGAGCTACTTACATGTAAGGGACTTACCTTCAAGCAGTCCGACCAAAGATGAATTTTCTGACATTGTCCCAATTTTGTCCGAAAGTCAGCTCAGATGTTTCGAACTGCTCCCAACATATCCAGAATATGAACGTTTGCCTGAACTCTTCCGCAATCTCAAAAAACGTTTTTTGGTTCTCATGTTCGAAACTTTTATCGGAAGAGACAACAACACAGGAAATAAACTTCTTCGTATATGTTTTGTCGAGACTTCTTCGTCAATGAGTGTAAATGACCCAAAATATATTTTAGGGTAGAAGGTTAGATCTAACCTGTTTTCTACCCTCATTTCTACCCCATATGTCCTTACTGAAAAAAGTATGTGTTCCATATGTCATTTTACTCAGAATTTTACTCAGAATTCAAGAGTTTTGTGTGTTTTCTACGATGGTAGAAAAGAGGTTAGAAATGAGGTTAGATCTAACCATCTACCCTAAAATATATTTTTATTGAATTCAGCAACAGAATTCAAGAGTTTTGTGTGTTTTCTACGATGGTAGAAAAGAGGTTAGAAATGAGGTTAGATCTAACCATCTACCCTAAAATATATTTTTCAATACTTTTTCAGCACTTTTCCGTAGTTGTATATGAAAGACAATTCGGGATGAAATTTCTTCATCTGATATATTCCTACCAGCGTTTGTAAAGATATAGTCTAACGGTTTTGTATCTGCTGCTTTTGTTCTTTGTTTTTCAACCTGAAGCATTTCAAATAAAATAAAAATATACTGTTTTAAAAACGTTTTAAAATGGTATGCCATATAGCTTCTTGAATTTGTTGAGAAATATATGAACGTGTTTTCCATCTGTATCTCTAGTGTTTACATAAGCATAGCCCGCCTTAGTAAAACATACTTGTAATTTTCTATAGTTTACGCCGGTATAAAGGTAGAAAGAGTCCTGTTCTTCGCTATAGTAGTAAAACTCAAACGTATGCTTACCATAGTCTGTAATTTCAATTGCTTCATCTTCTAGTTCGTCGACAAATTCGAATACAATATCTCTAAATTTGCCTATGTTCTTACTGTTTTCAGAACAAGTGACCCAGCGTAAGTTTTCAAGTCTATTGTCGTTTCTTATATGGTTTATGTGGTCTACAAAAGGTAGATTGTTAGGATTCGGTATAAAATGAGTTGCAATGACAACATGTTTAAAATAGTGTTTTCCACCAATCCTCATCCTAGCATATCCGTCATTTTGCTCCCATTCGCTTAAAACTCTTTTTGTCTTTTTGTTTCTGACTTCAAATGACTCACAACAGTGAATTTCATATTTCTCATCTAACAAACAAGTTTCCCAACGGTCTGTTCAACAAAACCCAGCGTACATTTCAAATAAAATAAAAAAAATATTTTTTTGAAAAATATACTGTTTTCCTTTTACTTTACATAACCTCCTGCTACCATAAGTCTTTGACGCCAACCCATACCAGCTAATGAAGGTTGACTTGGTTTAGTTTGGAAACTAAACTTTGGTTTTGGTTTATCTTCAGTTTTTGGCTCACCTTCTTCTATCGGTTTTTCGTCACTTTTTGGTTCACCTGACTTTACTTCACTTGCAGGTATGGTTGTGTCGTCAACATCTTCATAAATATCATATGCCATTTGTTTTTGTTTTCCTTTCAACTTTTTGTGTTTGTTGTAAAGTTTAGAATATTTTGACTCTAAGTCAATGAGATGTTCTATAATGAACTGTTGGTCAGTGAAGAATACCTTCCATCTGTTGTCTCGAAAGCTCCTTCAGACTTCAATATTTTATTTGTGAGAGTCTGTTTCTTTTTTGAGATACTAGCCGTTCCATTTCTATGAAAAGTGACTTTATAGTTAGGGTTTGTATTTCCAGACCTGGCACTTTCTATTATTGAATTTTTCTCTTCATCTGTAAGTTCTTTGACAGGTTTTGACAATGGTTCTGAACTTTTTGTTTGTGGTGTCAAATCTACCGTTTCAACTTCTTCGGTCATTTCATCTCAGTAAAAAATTTTAGTTTGTTTTGTTTTCAACTGGTTGTTTAGGTTTTTTAAGTCGGTCTAAAACTTCCTGAGGTATAGGAAGAACTTGACAAACACGTGGTTGTGTAACTGCTGGAAGTCGACAAATCCATCTTGAACCCATTTGTCTCAATGCTGTATTGTTCATTTCATCTCAGTAAAAAATTTTACATTCCCCACGTTGAGGTGGTTGCGGTTGGTTGTTGTTTACCCATTGTTGTGCATGGTTATATCCTCTGTTAAAGAATCTTTCACCTTGGTCCATGTAGTGCCCTGCTTGGTTATAGTAGTCATTTGCTTTGTTATAGTAGTTTCCTGCTTGTCTTCCTACATTGTCCATCCATCCTTGAACTTTTCCTCTTGTTTCAGGATTTGGAATAAGATTTGCTGCATCTCGTGCTACATCCCAACCTTTCTGTACAGTTTGTATAATAGGTTGTGCTTTCTCTTTAAGTATACCTAATGTACTCAAAATCTTCCTTCCAACTCCAAATACACCTCTAGCTATTGTTCCCACTGCGGGCAAAAATCTGGATGCAACTCCTGCTAATGCGCCAAATAAACCCATTTCTTATGGGTTAAAAAATGACGAATCCAAACAAGGACCCCTATGTTTCTAAAGCGACAAAGAAAGCACTCATGGTAAAAATCTTTAGTTCAACACCAAATGCTTGGTTTATGGATATCTTGGAAAACATTCCGAGGTATAGAGAAGATGGACCACCATACTGGCTAATATTTGTCGGTCAAAACACAAGATACTGTGAAGCCATACCATTACAGTCCAAAAATATTTTAGATGTGAAAACTGCTTTGACAATATTCGTTGACAAATACCATCCAACAAAACTGACATCTGACTGTGAAAGTTCTTTCAAATCAGACGATATTAAAAACTATCTGCGTTCAAAAAATGTAAACCAATATTTCATTGTCGACCAAAACCATTCTGCTCTTGGTGTCATTGACAGTTGTATAAAAATCTTAAGAGACTTAAACCAACCACAAGGTGGTGAGGTAGATGAAATGTCATATGACGACAAATATAGACACTTCTCCATGGCAAAGATGAGACAAGTTTTAAATATTTACAATAGCCGTAAACAAAAAGGTTTGGGAAACCACTCCCCCGAAGAAATGAAAAACAACCCCGACTTAGAGAAAGACTATATATTTAATAGTTTAGTCAAAAGAGACAAACAAGAAAGAATGCCAGGCTTCAAACTTAAGAAAGGTGACAAAGTAAAAATAGAAATACCTAAACGCGACCCATATGAAAATACTATTGACTATGACAACAATGGGAACTCGACAGGTACTCACGTTCGTGTTCGTAAAAATAGAAGAAAGTATACAAGAGAATATTATGAAGTTTTAGGCAAACATGGCAAAATGTACAGACTGCAAGCAGAAGATAAAACGACTATTGTCAGACCTCGTTTCAAACTTGTCAAAGTTCAAGGTGGTATACTTTCAAAGACAGTTCCTAACAAATATAAGACAACTCCTGACGAATATGCTAAAGAAGTTGAAAATGACGACTAAGCATTTCTATACCATGCACAAACTGTCATGTAAGGTGGCATGTATTTTTTACCTAGTCCTGTAGATGTTGTTGTAAAAGTATGTTGGTGGTTTCCTCCTGGTTCAGTTTGTCGAAAAGTCTTTTTTGCTGAATGGTTATAATCTGGAGATAAAACGTCATAGCCAGCTTCATACTCTGAGTTGTATAATGGGTGGTCTCTTAATGAGTGGCTATGGTCGCCAGAAAAGTTTGTTGTACCAGAATGACTATGTGGTGGCAAGTTGTCGACAGATATCGTTTTACTTCCACCTGTTTTCTTTGGAGTGTGTGCACAATACAAAAAACTTTCGAGTATTTGAGTCCAAGTTCCAAAACCAAGTACTACTTCTGGTCTGGTAGAGTTCATTGACGTATAAATAGAACCAACTGGGTAAATGGTTTGAAGTATTTCTGTCTTTAATGTTTGAAGCTCTGTTTTGTCTGCTTTCTTGTCATATAAATCTTGAGCAGTGAATTTAACTTTATTTTCATCCTCCATGACATAAACATCTCTACATCTAATGTATCTCATCGTTGTTATGTCTTCTTCCGATGTTAAACCTTGTGGAAAGTTAGGAGGTTTCCAATATATTGCATCCCCACCAGTTTCTTCAACCGTTCCTTCAATATTTTCTATACCAACAGTTGCGAAGAAGCTATGTGTATGTCCAACGTCACTTTTCCTGTTTAAGGTTTCTTGTAAGTTTGTAATATTTGCAATGGTATGTGTATGAGTCTTTTTAGAATATTCTTTGTCAGCTCTTGTCACTTCACTTGACATTTTATTGTCAACATATGTTTTGTCTGCTAGTTCAGGATGAGTATGTTCTTTCGTTGCATATGTTGCATCTGCTCTGTCATGTTCTTCTTGAACTTTTTCAATGACATACTCTTTGTCAGCTTTGTTGTCAATATCTGCCTTCAAAAGAAGTTCATCTATAGGTTTCTCGTTTAAAGTTCTTTTTGTTGGATTTATACAAACAGTATGGTTCTTACTGTCTTGAAACAGAAACTCATCTGTCATTGGGTTTATCGTCAGTTTTAAGTTTCCTTCTTTCAATGACTCAGATATCTTAGAATAGTTTGAAAAGTTTGTTGTGTTCTTATTTAGAGCTTGCATAATGAGTTGTCGGTGTTGTATTTCTCTCATAGACGCTGTTTCATTTGACATTTTTATTCTAGATAAAATATGCTTCCAATAGAAAAAGAAAATTCAAGAGTTGCTACAACTAAACCATTAGATGAACTTTTTACTAATGTCGGTCAAAAGTTTGAGACAGAGACCGTAAAGCATGAAGGCTATCGTTTTGACTACCCATTAAGATGGCTAAGAGACCCATCTGTCACAAAAGCTATTGGCTTTCGTAGAATGAAGTTTGTGTCTGTAGAAGATAAAAGTTTTCCATTTATTGTAAGGTTTCATATAGATTATATATCTGAAGGGAAACGAAAAATGTGGGAAGAAATTGAGCTAATACAAGTTGACCTTTCATCTTCTCTACAGACTGCGTTAAAAAATATAGAAGATAAAATAAATTCATGTTATGCAAAATATGCTGATGAATATGCAAATACGAGAGCACACTTTATGTGAGAATTGTATATGACAAACAAAATTCACAAGTGTCATTTCAAATCTACGAAGACAATCCAAAGAAAGACGAACAAATATATACAGAATTCACTGCAATGTCATGGTATTATTTGCAAAGAATGTTAAATCAGAAAGTCGAACTTCCTTTAGCAAATATTTACAGTCGATATGCAAGAGATGAACCATATTTATTTAAAGATGTTTTCGACCCAGCTGCTATTATAGTTCATGCTTCATTTTCTGGTGCACAAAACTTTTTTTATGCTTGGCAAATGACTTTTACGAAAAACCTACAAAGTTATATGAACCACCAAGTGGAAGTATTTCAGACTTTCAAGTATGGTTTACTACAGATGGAAGAAAAAGAATAATTCCATTATACCATGCGTTTTACTTAGAACTTAGTTTCATATACAACTACTATCGAACGGTAAAAATATAATTTTTTAATACGGTTGAGGTGTTGGATTTGGTTGCCAACTAGACTGTGGTGCAGGTTCAGGCTGTTGTATAACAGGAGCTTGCTCTTCTGGTTCAGGGTCTTTAGGTATAATACCAACAAACTGACCTACTCTTTTACCAATATTTTTGACACCGTTCCAAATTCCTCTTCCTACGGTTTTTATTCCATTCCATATACCTCTTCCAACATTTCGAAAGAAGTTTCCTATCTTACTGAAGAAACCCATTTTACTATATGTAAAAATCTAATGTCCGCCTAGTCTCTTACGTTTCCTGTTGATTCCATAGCATTCTTTAACTGGAGCTCATACATTCTGTTTCTCCTCTGGTAGAAAACATATTCTGGGTCAACTCCTGTGTTCGCGTCATCTGCATAAAGTTGTTTATATCCCACTTCAGGGTTTGTATAAAACTCTTTCCATCTCATATTTGCATACCATGGTGGCAAACCTAACGCAGCGTCATTTGACATGCAGTTTGCATTTGTACATCTGTTGGCACTTGACCATAGTTTGCCATTGCAGTTTGTATTTAACTTCATTTGGAATATTCTCTGGGTTTGGTTGTCCAGTTGCTGTGCATTCGCTAAGTTCTGTGAGTCCATTTAATATTAGATAAAAATATCTCTTACGAGTACATATGCTGAACATTTGCAGGCATTGGTTCATCTTCATATTCTCTATATCTTTCTGCCACGTCAAATAAGTAAATGACACAATGGAAAAAACCTAAAACAAGTAGTCCTATTTCAAACCACATTTACTTACAATAAAATTTCTTTGTTATGACACTTTCTCCAGTTTATAGGACCTCTCTCATATTCTATCTTATCGTATCTAAACTCATAGTCATGTATGTCCTCTAACCATCTCATGACACTTTCCAAACCACTTTTATCGGATGTAAAGTAAAAGCATGGATGGTTATGTAAAACGTCTAAAGTTTCTAAAGAGTCTCTCAAAGTCCAGTCTACTTGGTATTGAAAATCCCATGTGTTATAGAACGGCGGGTCCACTATAAAGAAAACATTTTCCTTTTTTTATATTTTTCATACAACTCTGTCCAATGACATCTCACAAACTCTATACCCTCAATATATTTTTCTATGTTCTCTTTGAAAACATTTGTATAGTTAAGATATAAAACTTTTGACATAAGTGTTTCAATGTCATGAACTCTTATAGCACCACTATATAATAGTCTAGCAGATATACTATCCCAGTCAATATACTCTGCCTTTTTCAAAACCTCTCTGACAGTATTTTTCTTATCTAATGGTATACGTTCCATCTTACCTATAGGTATCTTTTCTTTTAACTCTTTCAATATTTTGTTAGTGTCTGGAATATGTTTGAGACGGTTCATATAGTTGTCGAAGTCATTGCATATAATCTTTGAGTCTGGGAATATTGTATGGCACAAATGGGATATATAGAAACTTCCACCGAACAAATCTACAAATGTTAGACCATTCGGTAGTTTCTTAAGTTCTCTCAATAGAATATCTTTACATCTACTCTTATTTCCAAAGAAGGGTAACGGTGGTTTTGTAAAATTCATTTTATATATATAATAAAAATGTTTTTACCTGAAAAGTGACAGAAAAGTGACAAAACATGAAAACATATATAATTTGTGAAAAGCTCCTGGAAGCCCTCCGAATAAAAACTTCATTTATACTAAACATCTTCAGGGCTAGAGGGCACGAAGTGCCTGGAAGCCCCACTACCTTTTTTTTTTTTTTTTTTTTTTTTTTATTTCAACATTTAGTTTCTTAAAAACTCTATTTTTTGTTCTCTCTCTCAATTTTCAAAAGTCATTAGTTTTGCATTACTTTATTTAAAATATAATTAACATTGGATAAAAACATTTATTCTAATGCCATTTTGGATCAATCTTATGATATTTCAAATCTTTTAAAATACACTCATTCATAACAAATAGTTGCCCTAGACATATGCGTAACCTCTGTGTACGATATTCCAACACCTTACGACCTGTATGCAAGTTTTTAATTATTGAATAAAAAAACAACAACATACCGTACTTCGAGTATAAAACATGTATACCCTATAAAAACAAAAATTAGGACATATTTGATTTATGATTTCTTTTCACAAATCGAAATTTTGATCTCTCAATTTTAAACATTTTTCAAAAAAAACTTATAAATATATTTCTTATTGTATAATATTGAAAAATAAATCATCATGGATGAATATTACTAGTACTTCAGAATTATTTATTTTTTCGATCTAAATATAGAAATAATATCTACTCTATATAAAAATAACAATTATTTAATTTTATTGAAATTTTTATTATTTGATTAATATATTTTATGTGATATCTTAAATAGCAATAAAAACTACACCACATAGTTATTCTAGGGTACCTTCATCTACTTCTAGAATTATAGGCTCTGGATTCGAATCTATGGTGCGCTATTGATAAAGTAAATTTCTCCATAGGCCCCCAAAAAAATTGACAACCCAGGAATTATAGGGTATTAGTTAAAATCAATAAAGTCATCCAAAGAAAATATTTAGTTTTTGATAGTTTTGTATTCGTTAATCAATATGTAGAAATATTTATTGTTTTTATAGTCTGCTAAAGACTATTTTCTAATTTATACATATTCACTATCATAATCGCTATCATAATCGCTATCATAATCGTTATCAGAATAAGAACTGGAATATCGCCTCTTCTTATGATGACTTTTATGCTTATGATGATTACTATGCTTATGATGAGATTCCTCTGGTTTCTTGCAGCTAACTGCAATAATAATAACAATGATAATAACAACAAGAGCTGCGCCTCCAATAATGATGTAAAGCTTGTATTTCTCCCAAATTCCAGATCCTCCTTCTTCAGAACCATCAGGACTAACTGGTGTAGCTGATGGTCCAGGAGCTTGTGATGCCTGGTAGATTCCTTCTGGTGCAATATCTGGACCTGGACCTTGATCAATATCACTTAAATGCTGAACATTAGTAATGAATGGATTCTTTTTGAATTTCATTTCATATAACTTAACTGTTCTGCAAAATCTCTCCGGATCAACACAAAAAACTGCAAATTTTGTACCATCAGTATCATTATATAGATATCCTGGATCTGTTTCTTTAGTACACTTATGCTTTTTACCATTGATATCAAATGTAACAGAAGAATATCCATCACACGTATAAACGTAACAATTAGAAATACCAGGTAGAGCAGCTTGTCCGTTTGAACATGATACTGATGGGCTAAAGATAGCCATAAAATCAAAAATATCACTATTTCCAATATAATCAAGATTCTTTGGATTGTAAAATGAAACATAATTACAATACACATCATATTGGTCCTCTTGTCCACAGCGAGCATCTGTTGTATTTGCAATCATTGGAACTACGCTTATGGTTTTGTAGTCAAACCATGTTATGCTTGGATTTTGTTTATCAATAAGGTAATATTTCGGGAAAGTTAATTGTGGTGGACCAATGGCAAAGTTTTCGATTGGTTTTCCGTTGATTGATTCAGGATTTCCCCATATCATTGGAGATGCCTTTCTATAATCAACTTTATAATTACCTGTATCCAAAAGAACTGCTAATGTTGCATCTGTTAATTTATTAAATGGTACTCTGTCATCATATTCAGGACCCATATTAACACCAATCATCAGATCTTCTATCAGAATTCTGGCTTCTAAATGACTACCACTTGTTCCATCCCCTCCCCCATTTTCAAATTCAATACCCGCTGGACATTCTATGCCTTCATCACCAACAAATTTATCAACGCCATAACGATTCTTTGCATAAATGTGAGCATATGGTGTTGTTAAGAAGGTCATTTCCTTACCCAGCTTTTTGAGAGTGCAGTTAAAACTTTTATGTGGTGTATTATCTCCTATTGGATGGTAATGTTGATATAGACTTGAATGATATGCTAAAATATGTAATGTTTCATGCAAAAATGTGTTAAAGTCATACCTCTTACTGGATGTTTCGCTTTGAATCGAGTTTGGAGCCCTAAACATGTTACAAATGATAAACCCTTGGATAGGACGATGAGAATTTGAGTCAACCTGTAATGGTGCAGCAGCAGCTAGGACAGCCGAGTTTTTTCCAAAAGGTCTACTAAGGACTGTGATAACCAAGTCGATATCTTCTGCTGTTGTATCTGATGGATATTCAAAGTTTTGTGGAAATCCTTGTAATGTGAATTTTTCAGTTAATCTTTGAACATATAATAGGTCAGTATAAAAGTTTTTTACATTTTCAAGTGTACCTTTTATATTTTTCAACTTTTCGCGTGTAACGAGTTCATCACTTTCACATTCATGTGCTTCACCATCAACTGTAAATATTTGTTGACCTACATAATTGCACATATTATCATCTGTATATGAACCATCGACAAATCTATAATCAAATGCTATCCTGATTTTTTCGAATGGTTGATTGCCGAGAACTTTTCTTGATTTTGTTGCATTGTTCTCTATTAGCTTAACATTTTTTGTTATCTCTCCATTCATACATCTATGTATTTTAGGAAATTCCTCTGCAAAAAGTAGTAATGTCAACATTAAAATAATAGAAAAACTTCGATTCGATTCTCAATTTTTTTGAATGTATAGGGTGTCCAAAGGTGTGTTTAGCACAAACCTGAATACTGCGAATAGAAATAAACAAGTTACATATATATAAAGTTTATTTAAATATAATCACCATTGAATTCAATCACGCGTTCGCAGCGATCGATCCAGGCTTGAAAGACACGCTTTAAATCATCATGAGAAAATTGCTCAAATTGCTCTCTTACAAAATTTTCAAGATCATCTGGACTCGCGAATTCGCGTCCTTCAGCTCTCTTTTTTAGCGTGCCGAATAAATAAAAGTCAGAGGGTGCAATATCAGGTGAATAAATTGGGTTTGGAACAACTTTGACATTGTTTTCCACCAAGTAATTCATTACCTTATGACTTTTGTGAACTCTTGAATTATCAAAATGAATTGCAAACTTTTGTTTTTGTTGTTTGGATTTCTCAAACTCATCAGAATTGATAATTTGAGTAAGAACATTGTCAATTAGATACTGAGCATTCATCGTATTAGGTTTTTGAAGAATACCAATTGCGATGATGCCATTCACGCCCCAAAAAACCGACAACATCATCATTGGTGTGTCAATTTTTTTCTTCGGGAATGTTTGCGGATTTTCATCCTTCGGGATCCACATGATTTTGGCTTCTGTTGCATATTGAAACCAAGACTTGTCCCCTGTTGCTAAAAAGCGAAACTTCTTGGATTGATACGCACCCAATATAGAGAGGAGCTCTTTCGAAGATTGGACTCTAGATTTTTTTTGAACTGAATTAAGGTTGTGCGGAACCCAACGTGTATACGCTAGTTTGTAGTTCAAATAATTGTGCAGATAATAACTGACTGTTGTACGTGGAATCTTTGTCATCTCCTCTATCCTTCTGAGTGATGCTCTTGGGTCTTCATCTAGCGCTTGAAGAATTGCTTTGATTTTTCTTTGATCCGGCGATTTTTTGTCAATTTTTATGATGGGCGCCTTTTTGTTCATGAAGTGATACATCCTAACATGATACGTTACAGTGGAATAGCTAGGAGCATCCATACCGAAGCATTTTACCAATGTCTCGTAGATTTTTTTACAGTCTTTGCATTTTTTTGCAAGAGCGAGGATGTTTTCTTTATGATTCATTAAAAAAATGAAAAAAATCCCGCCAAAATTTCCCGCGAAACCGCCTCTTGTCTCAAAATTCATTTTATATACCGGCATGGCGCCAAAATACAACATACTCATCATATACATATATTCATATTTTTTATTATATATTTATAATCAGCATATATCTCCTTTAATAGTCTCATATAGAGCGCTGTGCTAAACGCACCTTTGGACACCCTATATATCGAATCAATTATTTCGAAACATTTAAATTATTTAGAATTACTGCATGGATAATATTGAGGCGGTGATGTGATCATTTGAAATGTTGAATTATTTTATAACGTTTATATAAAATTGTTACACATCAAACCAAATTAATTTTTGCAAATTCTAGCAATTTTCTTTCATAAAATAAAATCGTTGTTCAGAATTTATTTCTTCCAAAGTTTTATCAGATTTTTAATAGTAAAATTAAATCGGTTAAACATATTTTAAGGGTTTCGTTTTGCGAAAAAAACGTACAATACGCAATTTCGCCAAAAAAACATTTAGCTAGCTAGATTTTGTAAACATTTGAAAAAAAATCTTCCATTGAAATGATCTTTCAATCCTTAAAATCTTGCTATCCGAATCTAAAATTTATAGGAATTTACATATTTGCAAATAAATTATCATAGGTAACCAATAAAATTGTTCAAAGTTTGATTATCTCATAATTCATTTAGGAATTGACTCATATCGAGTAGGTGACAAAAGTGCATACTCTTAAATTAACCTTAAATGTTGATTTTTCGATATTTTCGGTATTAGCCTTATTGTAAATTTTTCCGGTGATAAATTTATCACACTGAGGTTATTTTGCCGGTGAGATTTTTAACCTTGATTTAATGAAATTAATATATATAAATTTTATTATTTTTAATTTCGAATGAGTATAATAAAATATTTTTTATATCGTCATAACTCTCATCACTGTTGTGATTCCAAATGCGATTATTAAGGTTCAAGTCGCTAATGTTTTGAATGAAGATAGAGCAGTAAGAATTCTTACAAGGGCAGGTAATCAGATTGTTGAGCAAAGAGCTTCAAAACACGATGAATGTTTGAAATTAATTCAACACATTTTGGAAATTGTCGAAAGCCGAAGGATTGAACCTAATGTCCTTATTCCATCTTTGAAGACAATATTAAATTTGGCACAAAGAAGTTTAAAGGAAGAGTAAGCAAGATTAGATAATTTGGACTTTTTTAAAAATTAATGAATAAACAGTATATTTTTGAAGTGTAAGCTTATTTACCTGAAGCTATATTACTTAATATAACATTCAAAGTATTATTGCTATTTATTGGAGAACAAATTTATGTAATTTTCACATGAAAATTGATAAATTTGTATTTCCTTATGATAATCAATTTTTGTATTTGTATGTAGAGAGTCTCCCTGCATGATATCAAGACTTGGCTATTGGTCTTTATCCATTTTTGAAAATTGTATTGTAAATTGTAAGAATTTCTGAATACTACTACTATAAAATATAATTGCTTATCTATGTATATTCTCCCTGCATGATATCAAGACTTGGCTATAAGTCTTTATCCATTTTTTAAAATTGTATTGTAAATTGTAAGAATTTCTGAATACTACTACTATAAAATATAATTGCTTATCAATGTATATTCTCCCTGCATGATATCAAGACTTGGCTATAAGTCTCTATTCATTATGAGTATGACCCCATTTTTTTTACAAAAAGTGCCGAATTGCAACTTTGTCCCAATCTCTGACTCCACTGAGGACGTCACTTTTTTGATATTGCGATGTGATCTTTTTGGAAAATCTTTATGAATATCGTATATAGAGTCTCTTTAATATCTATATTTCATATTTTTATTGATTTTAAAAGCTTTTGCTAAAAGTATTCAATTATTTTTGCTATTTGGCCGGGTAAATGGCAGATTTGCGACATTTTCTGATATGATATTCATATTCTACTCTGATAATAATGCTTATAGAACCCTCTTGCTATTGTGTCAAAATTGCGAAACCGATAGCAAAAATATCTCGCAATATCAAAAATGAGACATTTGGTGAATTATGCATTATACAGATTGAAAATATGATTTTTGAAAACATATCATCATTTTATAGCTAAATCGAAAGTAATTAATATCATATTAGATTAAAATGAAAAAGGAATAGTATCGTTATGCTTTAAGTGGCAGTTTTATAATATAATCATAATTTTAGCTCAATATACAACACCTTTTCGCAATATATGGTTAGCAACCTAAATTCTGATTGTTTTGAATTCATATATCTTACGTTTTCTATAATTACATCGCTATTCATCACCATTTCTATCTTTATCATTATTGTTTGTATCTAATAATTTCTCAAAAAACATTAATACTTAATATTTGTAAATATCATACTTTATAACGTAAATAAGAACATTACCTATTATGAAAAACAATAATTAAAGAAAAATATGATAAGCTTTTATAAATGTAATTTTTAATATCTTATATTCAGAACATATAACTAGTAAATAAAGTACTTATTTTATACATACAACATAGGGCATAACACATCAAATGCTCAAATCTATTTTATTTTTATATAATATATCAATCAAAGCAAATTTACATTGTTTTGTTAGATATACTTTATTCGCATCGAAATTGGCGCGTTTCTTTACAAAAGAGCTATTTTTTCGTGATAAATAAAATCTACATCCCCTAAAAAATCGATTTCTGCAGTCAGAATCGAAAAATACCGATCAGACGTGGAGATATCGTCATTTCTTTTACTCCTTTTTTACTTTTCTTTCTCTCCTCTCTTTTCGGCCACTTTTTGAATACCTTGGTCGTTCATTTACTTTGATTAATGACAAAAAGACCACTTGGGAAATATCTCCATAAGAAATATAAGAAACTTACCTTGGCGGACTCTCGAGAGCCACCACCTGAAGGTTTTGTTAACTGTTACGATGAATCAAATCATGCATATTTACAGTGTAATCATTTTAAAAATGACATCCAGTGCGATTTCTATATCGCAAAATATCATCTTCAGAAAGTGCCTACAGTAGATCCTGAAGCATATCCACTCAAACATCAGCACTATTTTGGCCAACCTACACTTTACGATGTAACAAGGCGTACAGATGTCCAAAACCAGAATCAAGATGACCATCAAGATCAAACACAACAAAATCAAGGCCAGCAAGGTCAAAATCCCCAGATTGATCCGGATGTCAAAGCATATTTTGAAGATTTAAAAGATTGTGATAAAAGTATAAAAGATTTAAATACAATGGAACTGGCAATTATGTACCTCTTTGCCTCAAGGAGTTTACCAATGGATTTGGTGGATGATCAATTGTTCCGTAATGTTCTAATTATGGCAATGCACCTTGGACGTAAACATATAGGAACTAGTAATATGAGCGCGGTTTTGGACAGTCACCTCCCAAGACGTACTTCCTTCCAAGAACGTTTTATTTGTGTGGCCAAAATGCACAAAGATCTTTGGCTAAAGGAGTTTAAAAAGGAAGAATCAGTGGGTGTTGCGATCGATGCCGGAAAGCTCGGTAAAAGATCATATCTTACGAGTTCAATCATGTGCGCAACATCTCAGCTCAAGCCAATGCCATTAGAGACATTCCCGAATTTTACAGGTACTAAAGTGGCGTATGAACATGCGCTTTCACACATCACAGATTTTCTCAAAAGATTTTACCAGATTGATGTTGCTGGTTTCGTAGCAGACAATCTCAGAGTCCAATGGTCTGCACTTGCATCAGTCCTTGAAAATGCACCAGAACATCTTGCCATTCCATGTGGATGTCATACATTTCACCTTTGTCTTAATGATGCAAGAAAACTCTGTCCAAAATTCGACAAATTTTGCCAAAATGTCGAATTGTTTTCAAAAATCTTCTCGAGCAAGCCTGTTGCATCACGACTTGGAGGTGGATGCCCAACAGTTTGTTTAACTCGTTGGACAAATTTGTATGACATTGCATCTTGGATAGTCTTCCATGTCGAATCAATCGTCGATTTCCTTGTTTCTGCAGATGTTCGTGAAGTTCCAGAAATTCACGAACACATTGAAGGAATCGTGAAAGTGCTTTTTGTTTACGCTCCTTCTCTCGTATCCTTCTTAACAGCCTTCAAGCTTCTTTCACAGAAACTCGAAAGCGATAATATTACGATCGCTCAAGTATTCCCATATACACTTTCCGCCTTAATATCGACACAGGAAGTAATGCATCAAGATTTGCAGCCGTTCTATGATATCCTCAAAACTCAGATGGATCAGAGGATGTATCAAACAAAACATGGTTACATTCAATATGCGCTTTTTGTATTCACATATATTGGACGTGAGTTTCACAGAATGAAGAACAGTCAAAAGCGTGAAGCACTCGAATTAATCAAGACAAAATACAATCTTATGCATTGTGAGCAAGATTGTTTGAAAAAAGCTAATGCAATCCTTAATCATCAAAAAATCAAGAATTTAACATCAGCAGAACTCAAAAGAAAATTTACAAATGTAATTTCCAAAACTACTGGTGTTCCTCATTACAATCAGAGCAGCTTTGCCAAAATTAATGTTTACTCACTCGCGGTCAACGATAATAATTTGGCCGGACAATCTGCCAGAAATGACGGTTTGGCCGACCAAGCAGCCCAATTTGTACGCTATCAAAGCGATCGTTTTGAAGATGATACTGACCTCCCAAATAATGTTGATGTCAATTATGAAGCAGAGAGACAGTTTATTGCAGAAACAGAAGTTATGCCAGAGCCTGCAATTCTCAACACCGGCTCAGATTCTGTTCAAACAGAAATGATCCTGCATGAGGATGCAGAAGAGATACATATTGAGCAATCAAGGCAAGCAAAGAATAGTAGTCTCAATCAAGTATTCTTTCCAGAAGCAGAGCTCAACTATGATATTATTGAGTTTCCCAAAATTGATAATAATGAAATTTATCAATTTATTGAAGACATTGCAGTATTCAATAATAAAACACAAGAAGAAAGGCAACAAATTAATTATATTGTCGACAAATGGCTAACTGGACAATTCAATCCAAATCATCCAATTTACGATATTAAAATGTTTTGGGACTACATGGAAGGGGTTTCTCTTTCTATTGGAACAGATGAGATCGATGTTACCCTTTTATCAAGTTTGATCAAAAAATACGCATCAATATCAGCTTCAGAAGCAATGCGTGAAAGAGATTTCAAGGACTTAAGAGATCTTTTAACAGGACTTAGGGCAAGAACAGGCGATCGGCTTTGTAATGCAATAATGATTTTGAAATTAGCTCCTCTTTTAGTGAAAGATAGATTCCGGTACAATTACATTAGACCTGGTTCAGTATGAAGTTATTTTATTTTGTTATTTTTGTTATTGTTGAATAAAAAATTTTATTTATCACGAAAAAAATAGCTCTTTTGTAAAGAAACGCGCCAATTTCGATGCGAATAAAGTATATCTAACAAAACAATGTAAATTTGCTTTGATTGATATATTATATAAAAATAAAATAGATTTGAGCATTTGATGTGTTATGCCCTATGTTGTATGTATAAAATAAGTACTTTATTTACTAGTTATATGTTCTGAATATAAGATATTAAAAATTACATTTATAAAAGCTTATCATATTTTTCTTTAATTATTGTTTTTCATAATAGGTAATGTTCTTATTTACGTTATAAAGTATGATATTTACAAATATTAAGTATTAATGTTTTTTGAGAAATTATTAGATACAAACAATAATGATAAAGATAGAAATGGTGATGAATAGCGATGTAATTATAGAAAACGTAAGATATATGAATTCAAAACAATCAGAATTTAGGTTGCTAACCATATATTGCGAAAAGGTGTTGTATATTGAGCTAAAATTATGATTATATTATAAAACTGCCACTTAAAGCATAACGATACTATTCCTTTTTCATTTTAATCTAATATGATATTAATTACTTTCGATTTAGCTATAAAATGATGATATGTTTTCAAAAATCATATTTTCAATCTGTATAATGCATAATTCACCAAATGTCTCATTTTTGATATTGCGAGATATTTTTGCTATCGGTTTCGCAATTTTGACACAATAGCAAGAGGGTTCTATAAGCATGACTATCGAATTTTTTTTTAGGTTTCGCAAAACAACCAAAAATTAATTCGCTATAAAAGTGACAATTTTAGCAAAACGAAACCCTTACATATTTTCACTTTATTTGAGTCTTCGTAATTTTCTCACAATTTGAAGATTTATGAAATATCAAAAATTGAACTCATCTAACTCAAAGCATTTTGGAGATATTTTTAAATGGAGAACAGCAAAATAAACAATTGAAAAATTAAGACGTCAGCTTTTTGATCGCTGATTAATGTGAAACTCATCAGTCAAATTATCCCTAGAACAAAATTAGCCAGAATGGCTTACGTTGCAGAAAATCTGACTTCATTTTTCAAATCTGCGATTTCGCATTTTATTTATTTTTTAAGAAGCATTTTTTTGCAATAATATGTCTTTACGATATTTCACAAGTATTGACACTCATTGGATAATGCTGGAGTTATTGTTTTTCAAGAAATAATTTTATTAAATTTATTATTTAAATCTCAATTTAAGTAGAAATTATACCCGACAGATATAGCTCACGCCTCAATGCTATCGTTTAAGAAAAATCATTTTGTATTTTTTTTTAATAATTTAACTGTGTTTATCACAGAAAACCATTCTTGATTTCAAACTTACTCATAGAATTGTTTTCCAATAAAAAGAGCTTGTATGTAAGTATATTCGAATTCATAATTGATTTTTTGCAGAATAAAGGATTTTGTTTTACTCTTTCATGATTAGTAAGTTAAGGCGCGCTATAATTATTAGAATGAGAGCAGAGAATATGATTTTATATAACATTTGATATTAATTTTGAAATAAAGCTCAACTATTAATGATGATCCTTGAAAAAATAACAAATTTAAACATTATATTAATGATATTTAAACTTTATCTCCATCATAGTCCGAACTAGAATGTCTCCTCTTATGATGATTTTTATGCTTATTGCCCTTCTTGTTATGGCTGGATTTCTTCGATTTCCTGCAGCATACGGCAATAATTATAACAAAGATAATAACTACTATTACAGCAGCACCAATTATAATGTAAAGCTTGTATTTCTTCCAAATTCCAGATATTCCATCGTTAGATCCTTCTGTTGGAGTTGGTTCTGGACCGAAAGATGATGGATCGTAAACTCCATCTGGTGCTATATCTGAACCTGGACCTTGATCAGTGTTACTTAAGTGTTCAACATTAGTAATAAATGGATTCTTCTTGAATTTCATATCGAACAACTTAACTGTTCTGCAGAATCTCTCTGGATCAACACATAAAACCGAATAATCATCATACTCATATCCTGGATCTGATTCTTTAGTGCATTTCACACTTTTACCATTAACATCAAAATTAACAGAAGAATATCCATCACATGTATAATCATAACAATCTGAAAGTCCTCGCATTGCACCTTTACCACTTGGGCAAGTCATATATGGTATAATGAAAACCATGTAATCAAAAACATCTGATGCACCGTATGAGTCTAAATTCTTTGGATTATAAAATGATTTATGATCACAGTATTCCTTATCTTCATTATTTTCGCCACAATGAGCATTTGCAACTACTTCACTTAATGGAAGCAGACCAATTGTTTTATAATTAGGCAATGCTGTTCCATATGGATCTTCAAATACCAGATATGAGAATGGGAATGTTGTCTGTGGTGGACCAATTGCAAAGTTTTCGATTGGTTTTCCGTTGATTGATTCAGGGTTTCCCCATATCATCGGAGATGCCTTTCTATAGTCAAATTTATAATTACCTGTATCCAAAAGAACTGCTAGTGTTGCATCTGAAACTCGGTTAAATGGCTCCTGATCTTGTTCATCTGGACCAAGATTAACGCCAATCATGATATCATCTAACATTGTTCTTGCTTCTAAATGACTAAATGCTGTTTTGTCACCTCCACCGTTCTCTAATTCAATGCCTGCTGGGCATTCAGCGCCATTATCACCAATGAATTTATCGACACCATAACGATTCTTTGCAAAAATATGAGCATATGGTGTTGTTAAAAATGTCATATCTTTTCCTAGTTTTTTAAGAGCACATGTTGCATCCTTATGAGGTGTGTTATCTCCAATTGGGTGGAAATGGGGAATAAATCTAATGAGAATGCTAATACATGGAACATTTCGTGTAAATATGTGTTGAATGAATATCTAGAACTCGATGTCTCACTTTCGATCTTTACTGGTGCTTTGAGTATGTTGCAGTAGATAAATCCCTGAACAGGACGATAATTATCAAATGATTGCAATGGAGCAGCCATGGCAAGAGCGTCTGAATCATCATCAAAAGGCCTACTTAGAACAGTGACAACCAAGTCATATTCTGTTACAGTTTCCTCACTTGGATATGTAAAGTCATTTTGACGGCTTTTAAGCTGAAAAGGCTTAGTTTCTCTTTGTACATAGATAAGTTCTGAAAGGTAATTCTTTACATTTTCAAGTGTACCTTTCAGATTTTCAAGTTTTTCTGTTGTTACAAGTCCATCATTTTTGCAGGTTTATTCTTTACCATCTATTGTTATTTTTTGATTTTCCTCCTTGCACATAAAAGAATCCTCAAATGTGCTATCGATGAATCTATAATCAAATTGAATTCTTATTTTTTCAAATGTTTGGTTGCCAAGAGTTTTTCTGGCACTTGTTGAATTGTTCACAATCAGTTTAACATCTTTTGCAAGCTTGTCATGCATGCACCTATGTATTTTAGGCTGTTTCTGAGCAAGAAATAATACAGCCAACATTTAAAATGAAGTTAATTCGAAAGTCTCATCACACTTTTCAATGCTCGATTTTTAAAAACTGTTTAAAAATGGAGCTTATATTGAAATAGTGTAGAGACTAAAAATTACCACAGACTATTTCAGAGGATTGAGTGGCAACTCAATCCTCTGAAAAGTCTGAGGTAATTTGCAAAATTGAAAACTTTAATTGAATTCAATTAAACTTGTTTTTGAATGAGTTTTGAATAAATTTTAAACTTTAATTTAATTCCGAACCAAAATTTTTCATAATGAAAATATTTTGAACAAAATATGTTCAGAAATTTCAATTGACTTCAAATTCAGAAAGTTTTCTTCCAAAGAATCATCTTAAATTTCCTTTGAAATATTAATATAAGAACTTGTTTTAATAAGTCTTTAAATTTTAATTTAAAAATAGTCATCCGAGCAAATTGAAAGTCTTCTCAATTTGGGGATTTTCCCAATTAGCTCATAAGTATACTTATTACACAATCAATTTTTTGAGCGAATTCGCAATTTTTTCAATTTTAGGAAAAAGCGACGCATTTGAATTTCATTCAAAAGCGTTAATTTTTAGTAAAAATAAGGGTTTCGTTTTGGTAAAATTATCACTTTTATAGCATATTTGTTTTTGGATGTTTTGCGAAACCAAAAAAACTATGATATACAATGTGTGTGTAAAGAAAATACTTTATTTACTAGTTAAAAAATCATTTGGTATTGATCAAGTTATTTTTTCTGGATAAGATATTATATGGATAATTGGATAGAAAATACAATTATATAATCTTGTACCTGGTTTAATTAAGCTAATTGTCATCAGAAACTTGTAATTTTTATGAATTTCAGATTTTCTTTTCATTACTGCTTTTCTTAATAGGTCAAGTTCTTATTTACATTATAAAGTATGATATTTACAAATATCAAGTTATCGTGTTTTTTGAGAAATTATGAGAAACAAACAAAAATGAAAAAGATAGGAATAGCAATGAATAGTGATGTGGGTATAGAAAATGTAAGAGATATGAATGCAAAGCAATCAGTATTTAGGACATTGACCATAGATTTCGAAAAAAAAATGCTGCATATTGAGCGAAAACTATGATTATATTATAAGGCTGTCATTTAAAGCATAATGAAACTATTCCCTTTTCATTTTAATCGAATATGATATTAATTACTTTCGATTTAGCTAGAAACTGATGAGATGCTTTCACAAATCATATTTTTAATCTCTATAATGCATAATTCACTCAATATCTCAATTTTGATATTGCGAGATATTTTTGCTATCGGTTTCGCAATTTTGACACAATAGCAAGAGGGTTCTATAAGCATTATTATCAACGTAGAATCTGAATATCATATCAGAAAATGTCGCAAATCTGACATTTACCCGACCAAATAGCAAAAATAATTGAATACTTTTCGCAAAAACTTTAAAAATCGATAAAAATATGAAATATAAAAAAAAAAAAAAAAGGTAGTGGGGCTTCCAGGCACTTCGTGCCTTCTAGCCCTGATGATGTTTAATATAAATGAAGTTGATATTCGGAGGACTCTTCTTCTTCCTCCTTGCTTCTGGGAAGAAGCCTTCTTCTGGGTCGAAAACATTATATAATGTGTCGCTTTTCACAAATTATATATGTTTTCATGTTTTGTCAAGACTTCTTCGTAAATGTTTTGTCAAAACTTCTTCGTAAAATCAGACAAAAATAATGTTTAGGTGAAGAGGTGAGATCTCACCTGTTTTCTCACCTCTTTTCTCACCTCATGAATTTGTCATGATTTCATCGTCATAGGCACGGAGATAGGACGGTTATTTTACAAAACTAACAACACGTTGACCGAGTAGTTTTTTGTGCTGAACAAAAAGTGTCATATAAACATCTGTCAAAAACTGTTTTTTACTTCACTTAAAATGCCACGTAAGCTACGTAAGAATATACGTAAGAGGAAGAGAGCATTGAAACATCCAATAGTAAAACTGACACCACAACAACAGTTGCAACAACAAATTATGAATGACCCCACTATGTTGCAACAAATGTCAAGCAACCCTATGCTTTTAAACCGAGTTATTGGTGCACAGAGTGGAGGTTTAAGAGCGGCACTTTTAGCGAAAATGGCAGGCTATGGTGGAGCTGCAGACGGAACAGCTTATAACCCTCAAAGTCAAATGAATTTGAGTTCACTCAAAAATCAAATAACAGATGTCAAAAAGTCAAACATAGACATACAGAAACAAATAAGTGAAAACGAAAAGAAACTAGAATATGACAGACACACAAAGAAACTCAATGAGTTAAACGTAGAGAAAAAGAAGAAAGAAGAACAACTGAAAGAACTAAGTACAGAGGAATATGCGAAAAAAGTGTCAGAAAAAGCAGCAGAAGTAGCAAAAATGGAACAAGATGTTATAAATTTGAAAAACCATACTACTCAATATAAAGTACTGAAAGATGAAGAGATAAAAAAAAAGCCCTGAAGACATATATGGATAGCGATGAGTATAAAAAAGAAGTTGAAGCAAATGTAAAGGCAGAAAAACTTTTACAGTTGCAAAACCAAACCGTACAGTATGAAAACTTAGCACAAGAAAGTAAAAATAACGACGCAGCCATGCAAAAGGCAATGAAAAGCGCAGAATATATAAAAGCTAATAATGACTGGTTAGATGCCCAAGCCAACGCCAAAGCAGCCCAACTTATAGGGTCAATAAGGACAAAAATACAAGCGGATGAAGACAGTTCAAATGAAGCTTTAATGAATGCTGACTTTAAGAACGCCTTCGAAGCTCTTCATAGTAAGGTGAAACTAGTGAACGACTTCTCATCTGGAAAGAAACTGAAGTCTGAAGGTTTCGACAACGAGTTAAGAGAAGTAGCACAAAATATGACGAAAATAACAGATGCAGCAACGAGACAGGCAGTTCAAAGTGCCTATGACGCCGTTAGAGCAACTGTTGTGGAAAGTCAAGAAAAAGAGTTACAACAGACCAAAACAGACCTAGTAAATGCTTTCTTAAAAACGAAAAGTCAGGTAGGACATTATGCTGCAGATGGAACATATGTGCCAGCTGGTGGAACTTATATACCACCAAACCCTCCAAGAGAAGCACCTGCACCAGGACTACCTAAAACATTTACATCGTCACATGGACACAGACACAGGCATGCACCAAAACCAACACAACAACCAACACAACAACCAACACAACAACCAACAGTTCAAAACACTGCACCACAACCAACAGTTCAAAACACTGCACAGCAACAACCACAAACAGAGCAAGGACATAAAAGAAGTAGAGAACAAGGAAACCAAGAATTCTTAAAAATGCTTAAGGAAGACTATGGTTACCCAGATACTCTTGACTTTAGTGACAGATATAAAGAAGCTATTAGAAAGTTCAAGGAAGGAAATACTGACCCGAACCTATTTAGCTTTATGGCTCAGCACCAAATGGGATATAATTTCAAACCTGGAAAATACAAGCTCGCTAAGGGATATGATTTAATAGCATATCATCCAAATGACATGAATGAATTTACTCCAAGATATTTGTGTCAGAGCTAAATGATAATTCAACTCTCTTCATGAAACGCGTAAAAAATAGAGACGGAACGAAAGAAGAAAGGTTTATGAGTCCGGATGACTTAGATAGGGAACTTTTTAAAAACGGTCTCGGAATATATGAAATGCCAGCAGATGAGGTACAAGAAACTCCACAGGAAGAAGTTCAGATACAACCAGACATGGAAGAAATAGTTCAGCAACAACAGCTAGAAGAGCCAGAAGGAAACGAACAAGTCCCTCCTTTGGAAACTAACTTCACAGAACTAGATGAAGATTTGGAACAGCCGAAAAATCTTGACCCTCAACAAGAGTATGCGGAGAATATGGAATCTTTCCAAGAGTCTAAGAAAAATTCAGCTGACATAGTAGAAGAATATCGAAAAATGTTCGCCGACATACAAAAGACTCCAACATCAGATGAAAATATTCAGCATAGAATGGAAGAACTGAAAGAAAGTGTACGCAAATACAACAATCCTTTTTACTTACGACCATATAACGTTCAATCTTTGGCTGAACTCGGTGAAAATAAAAGGTTAAATTTCACCAAAACATATAGAAATGAAACATTGTTTAAAGTTCATTCAGAACCTAACCAATATGGAAACAAACCTACTTTTGTTTCTGCAGACTATGGAACTACAATGAGATGGGGTCATAAAGCTAATCCGGATAGGTGGTTCATAAACTTACAACCACAATTCCAAGAAGTTGTAGACGCAATGGAAGTGAATGGTGAACCAGATATAGCTGGTATTTTCAGCGCGGCTTTAATGCCATTGAAAGATATGAAAGATGCAGATATTTTGGACCAGTATGAAATGAACATGGCTGATGGAAATATAACACCTGACGTTCTAGAACATTTATCTCAAAGAACTACACAGAACCATAGAGATGGTATATTTGGTGAAGAGTTTAGAAAGAAAGTTAGGGAGACAGAAGGAAGAGAACCTATTGTACATGACCTTGCAAACGAAAGTTTACAAAATGTCATAAAAACTTACTTTGCAGACAATGAACCGAGAAGGGATGAATATTTAAGAAAACTCAAATGGACAGTACCAAATGAAATGTTAGTATTGAAAAACATGTTCCTTGACAAAATAAAACCAACTACAGAAATAAATGACGCAAGACTGAAACATTGGGTAAAAGCTTTCCCATTCACAAAAGATATTATTGGTAACATGGAAAGAAAACCAGAATGGCTACAAAAACATATATTTGGAAACGAGCTTATTCCATATGGACAAGCTCTGTTTGAAGAGCTTGAACCGGAAACTCAGGAAAGAGTCATGCAAACAATACGCGAAGACTCAAATACAAACTATGACAAAATCTTTCTAGGATATAGGTTACCTGAGATGGGCGACCAGAGCCCAAAGGCAAAAAGGACATGGGAAATTTACAACATACTAGGTGAACATGAGGCAAAGATGCAACAACTTGAAGCAGAGGGCAAGTTACCAAAAGCGACACCAAAGAAGAAGAGTAGAACAAAGTAAAGCTTGGTCCGAGTGGGTTCTATTATGACACATAAATCCAACTATTCTATATTTTTACCCATATGAAATGTACGCCGCTCAGAATATAACGCCAACAGTTTTGGATGCCATGAACGGAAATGTTTCCGAATGGTATAACGAATGCGACAATGCCATTAGAAGGTCAGAAATAGTTCCTGGAACTTACGAATATACAACTGCTGTTTCTTATGGAAACGTAGGTGAGTTTGGAGAAGGTTCTTCAACAACAGTAGATATTGCTTGCGACAGGTTTCATATTATTTCTATTGACAACTCATTCTTATACGTGGAACAAGACATTGAAATAAAACCTTCTGCCAAGTTGTCTGACAAGAAAGGTTGCAATGGAATTTTCTATGTCGGATACCAATATGCTCCAGAAGTTTTCATGGGATATAAGATATATTCTAACTCTGACTTAGTTCAAACAGTAACATGGGCAAAACTATGAATGGTTCGCTTTGAGAAACTCAGTACAACCACAAGCTAGAGAACAAACAGACCAGTATGCAAATATTGAGAAAATAAGAAGACTTGACCCTAACGTTCCAGGAGTTTATGTTAACCTTTCTGGTTCAGATGGAACTGCTGCCACTAAAGTAAAACTGAAACTTAGAGTTCCTTTGTCATCTTTCCTCATCTTCAGGTTTTTAAGATACTTGCCAAACTGGGCAGGAAAAATTTCTATCGAACTTACTCCAAGCAAAAATAACTTAGTCATTGCACCAACACAAGACCCATTCAGCATTACTGTAGCTGGAACTGGTGGAGCCAAGTTCTGTGACTTTTGCAAAGACAAAGTTGACTTAGACTTTGGTTTCTCAAACTTCAACAATGAAGTAAACTATTATTTCAATGCTGCTGGAACTGCTTGGGACCCAGTTAAGTTTACATGCGAAAAGTTTGAATGCAAGAGAATAGAAAGCAGACTTGCAGTCTATATGTTGGACCCAGATATTTCAAATGCTTTAGCTGCCAAATATATTGCAGTTCCACTTATGTTCCCTATACACCAAATATCTGTCAAAGACTTTGCAGGTGAAGTTGGAAACCAAAGTGCTGACCCAGGTGCAAGAACAGATATTGCTTTAACAACTGCAATGAAACATGCAGATACTATGTTTGTACTGTTCAGACGAACTATAAATGACTATTCTTGTTTCTACAACCCCGGTATTAAATATCATATAAACATAGATGGCAAATATTATCCAAGAGAAGAATATTCTACAGTTGAGGATATGAGGTCATACAACTTGACATTAGATGCTATGAACTTTAACAACAACTTCACAACAACCATTAACCCTGAAATGCAAAGTTCTATTATGCCATATGTGAAAGTATGGACTCATACAGGAGGTCAAAAAACTCAATATACAAATGGAGACCGTTCAAACTTTTGGCTTGGCATTCCATTTGCTGACTCAGAAGACTTTATGGGTGGTTTTCAACTGTTGGTACAGTTCAAATACAATATACTGGTGACAGAGACGGTCCAGATGAACTGAGAGCAAAGAAGTTTACAAAACCAATAGCACTTTTCACGGAAGATGCTCTTTTGAAGATTCGTTCGATGAAACCTGCTGGGCTCCTCAGATTGGCATAACGACAGCTTCCATCGAGCAGATTTTGGCAGCAGGTCAGTAAGTTGTTCTTGAACTGACTTCTCTCCGTCAAATATTGACAGTACGCCAGTTTTGACATAATATTGTAAGATAAACTTACCTTTAGAAATATCTGTAAGTTTTGTTGTTATATTTTTGTCTGCTTCAAGAACTTTCACCATTTCAGTTTATACCAACTTTCTTTGCTTTATGGAAAATTTAGGTTCAGCAAATATTGCTATTCTATAACATTTACCATTGTTTGTATAAAGAACTATTCTGTCAATGTATTTGTATTGTTTGTGAGTATAAACTTTGTTCTGCTTCAATTCAATAAGATATCCGAATACGTCCATCTTTTTATTCTAAGTAAAATGTCATTTCCGAAAAATAGAAGCGTAAGTGTTTCAAAAGGTTTAATGGCGGTGGCAGACGTGAAGTTAAATTCACCAACTCAAACAAACAGTCAAAGTGTTTGTTGTCAATGTCAAAGACAGAGATGTTGAGTGGGGAAACCATACGAAGACGAAGATGTATAAAATTGTTCCTGTAAAGAAAACAAACATATCCTGAAGTTAGCAGAGACTTAAGTTCTGTTGCAGATATTCGAAACGACTACCAACAACTGAAAGACAAACTTCAAACTCAGGAGAAGATTTGTCAAGCTTTAAGTATAATGTTAAACTTGGTCGAACACAACCCTGTAAAAGTGAACTCATATGTCATTGCACCTCATGAAGTTTTGAAAGAACTATTGAAACTTTTGACAGAGGCAGACGATATAAACATCAAAGAAATAGAACCCGACATTAGTTGCTGTGGTGTTTCATATAATGTCATTGACAAGATATACGTTATGAAAGGAGGTGAAACGTTGAACTTAAAGTATAGTTTCCCAGACGTCATAAAAATATTTGACGACCACAACATTTCATTAAAATTTATTTGCTAAGTAAAAATGTCAAAACTTCTTGAAAGATGTTTGAAGAAAAATAATATAGACTTTATTTCATGTAAAGGACTTTACACACTTTTGAACGATATGAAAGACCCTGTTTTGTTTGTTCGTGTAGACAAAGGAAAGTTCTATGTCTTTACAAAATATTTGAACTTCTTAGACAGAGAACTTCAAGAAACGCCATGTGAAAGTTTAGATGAAGTTCTTCTCCATTTCAGAAAAACTTTTAAATATATATAAATGGCAGAAGATATAATGGTTTATACTATTACGACTAAAAACCCTGAGTCATATAATTCTATAACAACAAACTTACAAAGTCCTCAAGGACGGTATTGTAAACTAACTTTAAACACAATGACGACTAAAGCCTGTTTTGCTCTTTTGACACCAGAAGACTTTATTGTTGTGAATGGTAAAAAATACTCCTTTGAAGATACTTACTCAGATATACCACCAACAGGTTTTGTTGACTTATTTAATACTTTAAGTACGGGTGTAACATGTGCTGCAACTAGAGCAGGTTTCATTATGTTTGGATGTCCGACTGAGTTTAGTATAAACGATATGAGCTATAATACAAAACTTATATCTGGTTTTTACTACCAACAATTTCCTATAACAGGAAAAGGTGTCATACAAGGAATGTCTATTCCATTGACAT